GCCGTGTTACACCAGGTGCAGCTGTCCTGGTGCGACTCGCTCTCGCCAGGCTCAATCGCCAGCACTCGCCCCGCAGTCCAGCGCGCCCTGCTCCTCGCCATGCGGCACTGCACATACGGAGACGTCCACCTGTACATGCCACGGTGCAGCTGGCCAGTTCCTGGCACCCCCAGTCCAGAGATGGGTCTCTGGTCGGGGGCTGGCTGCAATGTCTGCCAGCTGGGTGCACGGCTGGGCTGCCAGGTCGCCGTGCCCTGCCAGGTGTGTGTGGGAGGAGCAGGGCGCGCTGGACTGCGGGGCGAGTGCTGGCGATTGAGCCTGGCGAGAGCGAGTCGCCCCAGGACAGCTGCACCTGGTGTAACACGGCCGCTGCGTGAGTGCCATGCCTGGTTGCTTAGCAAGTTGGTGAGACGAGCAGCTGCTGGAACCGCTTCTGCGGCTGCTCGCCTTCCTTCTGCTGAGCTTCTTCTGTTCAAGCATGCTGCTGACGTGGCGGTGGCCGTCGACACCATGCATCGCTGGGCTGGATTTGTCCTGCGGGATCCAAGCAAGCTGCCGGAGAGAAGCAGGGTGACAGCAATGAGTGCATAACTCAGATGGTGAGACCGCGAGCGCATGCGTAAGTGACAGAAGTGGCTCCGCTGGCGGCAGGCTCGGGGGCTGCTGGGCTGCACCGCCAGCTTCATGTCGTCGGGTCCGAGCCAGGGGTAGGTAGCTGGGGTCGCCGGACAGGTGCGAGATGCCGATCTTGACGGCAAAGATGGGCCAATATTCGCTCCTGGCCTCCAAGCCTGCTGGGCGAGAAAGAAAGCAGCGCGCCGCCTCTGCCGCCGCCAGACTGCTGATGCCATCGCAATGCATCAGCTGATGAAACAGCACACCGTATCCCACACAGCGCTGGCGGCAGCCCGCGCGGCGCCGTGTTCGCGCTCGTCCATGTCTTGCAGCGCCGCCGTTGCTGCGCCCAGCTCTGCCAGCACCTCGTCTAGCTGCGCATGGCAGAGCTGGGGGCAGTGACGGCGGCACTGCAAGGCATGGACGAGCGCGAACGGCGCCGCGTGCAGCTCAGCTTAGGGGAGTTAAGGTTGGCATCCACCCGTGTGGTGAGCCCAGCTACCCCTGGCTCGGTGCTCGGCAGACAGCGCCAGGTATCCACCCGCCTTTGGCAGCTGTGGCAGGAGCACGGGAGCCCACCAGGCACCCCAACCCTGGAAAGGCCCTGACCAGCCGGCGCACGTCGGATGCTGCTGCTACACCACCCTCCATGCAGGCATGCTCCTCCCGCATGTCCCTGCTCTGCCGCCTCATGGCGGGCGCGGCCCAAAGGCGGCTTGCAGGGCAGTGCAGTGGGAGCACTCCTGCATGGGGGGCTGGCGGCGAGCACCTTCAGGCTCTGTGGTGTGGCTGGGGCCGTACTGCTGGCACGCTTCGACAAAGCATCCAATTTCCTTTGGCAGCCCGCATTGGGTTGAGATGCACCGCCGCCGAGTCGCGGTACTCGGTTGCATTGCATCAGTTGTACTGCATCTTGGCTGTACCGCCTGGTCACAAGGGCTCAGAAGGTCAGAAGGCCTGGGAGGAGCGCGCCTTCTCGTTCAGCCTGTTCCTGCGGAACAACGGCGGCCCGGCCTGGGAGGGGGCTCAGGAGCAGCCCCTGGGAACCACCATGCCGCTGAAGGATCAGCCCAACAGCATCCGGCGCACGCTGCGGCCCGCAAGCACTGCGGCTTCAAGCCGGCGGATCACTTGATCCGCACCAGCCGGCTGAAGTCCGTAGCATGGCTCCCAATGACCTCGAAGCGGTCTGCGGGGTGCCACGCTACGGACTTCGGCCACCTGGTGCTGGTGGAGGTCCCTCGGCATGCAGCATGAGTCAGGCACCCTGTTGACACCCACGGGCCGCCGCCCGACTGCCCGACTACCCGACATTACTGTGGGTGGATGGGGTGGGTGGCAGGGTGGGTGGACGGGTGGTCAAGGGGTGGGTGCAATGCCTGCTGCGCCAGCCCGCAACCACAGCGGGGCACAGCGTGCCCCAGCCAGCCACCCTGAAGGTGAGGGAGCCGCAATCCTGGCTTCCCATCTGGCCAGTAGCACACCAGGGAGGACTTGCAGCAGACGCGTGTCAGGTTGCAGTGCTGGGGGGCGGTTGGGCCGCAGGAGTGTCGGGATCCGCAGCGCCGAGCCCACTGTTGTGGTGGTGCTGCAGCCGGGTTTGCCGCACTACGCCTAGCTTTTCTTGACTGCCAGCACTGGGGTGGCAATGCACCGCCGCCGAGTCGCGGTCCTCAGCTGTGCAGTACTTGGCTGTACCGCCAGCCAGCTGCACTGCTGCAGGTGCCTCCCTCCCCATTCATCTGTGCATGCCTTGGTGGCAAGCAACCCCATGCCATGATTCGTGGCGCGGCGCTGCCACTTGTTGCCCACAACCAGCGCATTGGCGGCTGAACACCCTCGTCAGCTGAATGCCCTGGCCCTTCCCCCTGCAGGCTGGCGAGCGGGAGCAGGTGATGCACGCCAAGCAGAGCGAGCTGCACCAGCTGCGCGGCCAGGTGAGTGCAGGGGCGTGTGCCTTCACTGCAGCCGCTGCCGCTGCTGCCTGCTGCTGCCAGCCAGCGCTGCTGCCTGGCGTGGCCTCTGCTGGCCGCGACTCGAGCTGCCTGCCGCTCCTGGTGGGACGTGGGGCACCTGCCTCAAGCTGCTGCTCACAGCTTCGTGTTGCCGCACCGACAGCTGTGCCGCCTCTTAGTTTCTGCGGCTGCGGCGGCTGTGGGCTGCAGGCGGAGCTTCTGGAGGTTCAGAGCCAGGGCCTGCTGGCGCAGGCGTCCCACGAGAAGCTGAAGAGGGACCAGATGAGGCGCCGCAAGGGGCAGTTTGAGCTGGTGAGGAGGGCCGTTGAAGGAGACGGGATGAAGGGGTGCAGGCACATGCTGAGTATGTTCCCAGGCGTCACGGAACATGCAGCAGCTCGAGGCGGAAGTCGAGCGGGCACCCGCTGGCGCACTGCGGTGTGCCTGAACCACGGCTGCCGCTGCCGCGCGTGTCGACTCAGGAGCTGCTTCCCCTTGACTGCCCTGCGCGCAGGTGGAGTGGCGCCACTATGCCGAGGCGGAGCAGGCGGAGAAGGAGAGGCGCAAGGTGGGCTGTGGGGGGGAGGAGGGGCGGCGCCCGACTGGCGCCTGGCTGGCAGCACAGCACCAATGCCATGCACGCACGCGTGGACCACAGGGGCCACCACCAGCACATAAGACGTATGCCGGCCTGCCGTGCCTGCCAGCCTGGTGCGTGCCCCTGGCTATAAGACATGCCGAGACGGCAAGGGGCCGCCGCCGCTGGGACCCCGCAGGTGGTGGAGGCAGCGCGGCCATTGGCGGTGCGGGCTGAGGAGAGCGAGCTGGAGGCGATGCGCCTGCGCCAGCTGGCGGCAGACACGGAGTTCCACGGAGAGGTGGGGAGGGTGTGTGTGGCTGTTGTGTGTGTGTGCATGTGTGTGTGTGTGTGTGTGTAGGTGTGTGTTGGTGGGGGGTGTGGGGGGGGTGAGTTCCTCCTCTGTGTGCGGACACCGCGGGAGATGCTAGCGCGTGGGTGGGCGTGTGTGTGTTGAGTGTGGGAGTTGTGTGTATGTGGGGGGGTGCGTGGGTGGGTGAGTTCCTCTGTGTGAGGAGACCGCGTGAGATGCTCGACGGGCTAAGGGTGGAGAGGGCGGCCCCTGGCTGCCGCACCACTCCCGACCATCTTGCCGCCTGCCATTCCCGCCGATCCCCGCCGTCGCCGCTCCCTGGGCGCCCCCTGGCGAGCCCGCTGCAGGTGCTGGAGCGCAAGGCGCGTGCGCTGGTGCAGGAGAGCATGGACATGACTGAGCTGGCGCAGCAGCGCATGATGGATGCGGAGCTGCTGTCGGGTGAGGGCGTGGTGGGGCATGGGTGGGTGGGTGGGTGAGGGGGTGCCGGAGAGGCCTTTCCAGGGAGGCGCCGTCGTGCGTCTCGAAGTGGAGGCATCTGAGTCCCGCTGTGCTGCAGTACAAGCTGAGCCCACGAAGCCAGCAGATGAGCGCTTCCACCTGCCTGCCCCGCACCGCTCACCCCACTCCACCTCGCCCCGCCCTTCCCCCGGCCTGCAGCCGAGCTGTTCGTCAAGCGGCAGGAGCAGCAGGAGTGGCAGCAGAAGGTGGACCTCGTGTCTGCCGGGGACCTGCCGCGGTACATCCATGTGGGTACTTGCTGTACTGCCTGATGTGCCAGAGCAACGACAGCATGTCCCACTTGTGCTGCCATGTGTGAATCCCTCTTGCAACGTTCAGCCGGTCGGCTGCAGACCATCCAGCGCTGCTGCCCTTGCCCCTGCCGCCTGCCTGCAGGAGTGTGAGGTGGAGATAGGCCGCCTGGCCCACCGCATCACCGAGCTGCGCGAGGAGGCGAGTGGCTTGTTGGCAGCTGCCGGCAGCAGCTCTTGCCCCTGCCCGCAGGCCACGCCTGCTGGCTGACTGCTGGACGAGCTGCCGCGCTCCCGCGTTGGCCCCTTGCTGCTGCGTGCCAATGTACACTCCGCTCGCCTGCATCAGCCAACCGCCTGCGCTGGCTGCCGCTCTGCGCCTGCTGCTCTGCCTGCGCAGATCGACTGGGCACGGCTGGAGATGGAGCGACTGCACACCGAGGGCGCCACCTGGCAGCGCGTGCTGCACAGCAAGCAGAGCGAGGCAGGTGAGCCTCCTCGCCTCCCTCCACGCCAGGCACCCCGCTGCATCCATCCTCGCTTGCCTTAAGACTCCCCCGGAAACCGCCGCTGCACAACTAGTGCTGCTGCCGGCTGCCCCCGTGCAGCGCTGCTGCTGCTACGAATGGAGCAAGCCAAGCAGGAGGCGGAGGAGGCGCGCGTGCGCTCGCTTCAGGTGCGCTCTGCGTTCAGGTAGTGCCTCACGCACCGCTAGCCAGATGCCGCTGCTGGTGCTGCCAGCCCTGCCGCTGCTCTGGCAACCATTTCCTCGGTTTGTGTGCTCCAATGCGGGCTGCGTGTCGGGGCAGGCTGCGAGGCCGGCGGGCTGGTCATACTACAGCATAGCTGCAGCGGGGATGCCTCTTCTGCGCCGTTTGCAGCGTTATGCATCTGCTGCTGCCTGCCTGCCCCCTCAGGCTGCCGAGGAGGCGCTGGAGCCCACCAGTCTGGCGGGGGTGAAGTACGAGGAGGCGTACCGCTTGCAGGAGGTACGACTGTGCTGTTGTACCTCTGATGGATACCGGGCTGCCTGGACGATCACGCCTGCCCGCTCGCCTCCTGCACCCTGCCTTGAGCGCTCTCTGGAACAATGGAACGAGCCCCCTACTGCGCGCCCCCTCTCCCCCTCTCGCCCCTGCCTGCTGCGCAGCAAGCCGACGAGCTGGAGGAGCAGGCCAAGCAGGCGCAGGCGGAGGTGCTGCAGGTGGTGCAGCAGGCGGTGGGCCCAGAGCAGAGCAGGTGGGGGCGCCTCGTGTGCAGCCGCACGAGAGCTTCCTGTTGAGCGCTGGGGTCTCCCGCTCTGTATGCAGCCCACATCCTGCCAGCTCGCCACTCCCACCGTTCTGGCAGGGCAAGCTCGCCGCGGGCACAACGCGGGGGTGTGTGCTGCCGTGCAGGCAGGAGCGGCTGCGGGAGGCGGCGGATGCAGAGGCGCGGGCCAAGCAGCTGGAGCTGGAGGCGCAGGTGGGCGGTACCTAACTGCGGCACCTAACCGCGCTACACCCCTGGGGCTGGCTGGCTGACGGCCTGCGCCGCCGGACCCTGCCCCCGTGGCCCCCGATTGCTGCAGCTGGTGGAGGGAAAGATGGAGCGCAAGCTGGCTGAGGCAGAGGCCAGGGCCGAGACGGCCACCGTGTTTGCGCAGCAGGTTTGAGGGTGGGGCGGGGCAGGCGGCTGTGGCTGGCTCATGTGTGGGGCAGGGCACGATGGTGTGGCCGGCTGATGTGTGGGGGCAGGCACGGGGGGCGCGCGGGGTACATGATGCCGCTGGCACCGCATGCTGGCAGCGGATGGTGCGCCATTCGGTTCAGCAGCGGGCCGGCGTGAGGCATTGGGAGGGCCTACAGCCGGCAGAGGTATGGGAGCAGGCAAAAGGGGGGTCACGAGTGGGCACCAGGGGGGGCCTCAAATGGGAGCGCGGAGCCGGTGCTCTAGGCTCCGTGGTGCTGTGGAGGCACAGGCCTCTGCCCAGTCAAATCCAGGCAGGCAGAGGCCTGTGCCCCGCCACTCGAGCCCCAAGCACCGGCGCGCCTCCCCGCACTGGCCCCTCCTGCCCTGCATCCCCTCCTGCCCTGCTCCCTCCATGGTGGGTCGCACACCTGGCAACCTACCTTTGGCACTGCCAGGCTGGGATGCCGTCATGCCTCCCCCTCCCTGATGCATCGCTGCTCCTGCTGCGCAGGCGGAGCGTGTTCAGGAGGAGCACCGCGCAGCGCAAGTCACGGCAGAGGCCCAGGTGCGCACTCCAGCTTCTGCCCCCTCCTCCTCCTGCTGCCTCCTCCTGCTGCCGCCTGCTGCCTGGCATGGCTGGCGCCCCTGGCGCCCCACAGCTCTGCCTGGGCCCTCGAGGCTCCCGCTGCGCTGCCAGCCAGTGGCTGGGCCTGGGAGCCGGTTGCCGCTGCCGCTAGCATCGACAGCGCGCTTGGCCGCCCGCTGCTCTGCAGCGGGAGATGGCAGACTTCTACTCCGAATCGGAGCAGCGCCACGCAGAGGCACGGGGCGAGCTGAACAAGTGAGAGCGGCTGCGTCCACGCATGCCACCCCGCCATTCCCCACCATCACCTGCAATGGCGGGCGTCCTTAAACCACACACTCTTGCCCACGCTCACACACGCACACCACACACTGCAGGGTGGGTGCCGCGCCGATGTCGGCGGAGGCCGGAGAGATTGTGCGGCGCCAGCTGGACCGCTTTGCCACGCCCGGCTGGACCGAGGCCCCCACCGTCCCCGTAGACATGCCTGCCGAGCCTGTGACGCCCTACAGCCCCACCCAGGTCCAGGTCTGTGTGTGGAGGGGGTGATAGGGCGCTGGGTCCGCTTGCCTGCCTGCCTGTACGTGCACCGATTGGTGGCTGGAGGGATTTGGATGGGCAGGGTGCGTGCGCGTAGTGTGTGCACCCTGGTATGCTCATGCTGTCGTGCTGCGCAGGTCGACGCAGCCAGCCGTACTTGCTTGCATGGAAGCAACGGGCTGCTGGTTGCTGTGCCTGCTGCCCCTGCAGGCGCTGCTGGCAGAGGCGCCCACCCTGCCCTCCCACCCCGTCGTTCAGGCGCCGCCTGCCAGCATGGCGGAGGCAGAGGGGATGCAGCGCGTTCCGGTGACGGCCTGATGCAGTGGGTTGGGGCTATGTGTACAGCAACATCATCTGCTGGGTCCAGCCATCAACACAAGGGGGCCGCCGGAGCAGTGCGCTGCCCGGTGATGGGAGATGGGACAGCGGGAAGCAGTCGAAATGCCCTCTGAACAGCAGAGATGCACAACGAACTCAACAACTGCTTTTTACCTGTGCATGCGCCAATGGTGGGAGTGTAAATATGGGTGTGGTCGTCTGCTGCTTCGGACGCCGCCACGGAGCGGGCCGCCGCCAGGGTGGCGGCGCCCCGTCATCAGTAGAACAGAGGGATGGCAGGTCCTCTGGCTATTTCCAAACCACCCATCTGTTGGTTCTCTACCAATTCACACACCAACAGGGGCCAGGCGAGCAGGGCGCCTGACGAAAGGCATGTCGGCTCACGATGAGCACGATCCAGACTCGGATGCGGAGTCGGAGGATGCCTGCGAGTGGCTGCTTGGGTTCGTGGAACCGCCGCGCAGGCGCACCGACCTGCTCCGCCATCGCTTTCCCAGCAAAGTGGGCGGCCGCCCGGCCTGGCTGGACCCCCTGCACCTTCCCACCGAGGAGCAGCTGACCTGCCGCGTGACGGGCAAGCCGCTGGACTACCTGCTGCAGGTGCGCCGCCGCTGCCACCTGCCGCCGCCCGCCGCCGCCTGCCGCCCTCTCTGCTGCTCGCACGTTTGCGTGGGTGTTACCTACCTGGGACGTGGGTGCTACAGTTGCCCCTACGCCACCGCATCCACCAGCGGCGTTGGATGCGGTGGGGGCGCCGATGCTGCCTCAAACAGTGCTCTGCTGCCGCCAACCGCTGCCGCTCGCGTTGCTTGCCGCTGCCGCCTCCCTGTGGCATCGAGAGCAGGTGTATGCACCGGTGGAGGGCAAAGCCTCTGCCTTCCACCGCACCCTCTTCCTCTTCATCTCACCAGAGGGAGACAAGCTGACGCAGGCCGGCAGCGGTGAGTTGGCAGGATGCAGGCAATGCGGCTCAGCAGGCGCCAGGCACGCGCACCAGCCACGGTCGTGCCTTGTCCCGGCCCTGACGCAGCCACCCCTGCAACAGGCCCACCTCCCTGCTCTGTTGAGCATCTTTTAGCTGCTGTCGCTCCCCTGGCCCACAGTGCGGGCACTACGGTGTCAGCTGCCCCGTACCAACCGCTTCTACCCGCCAGATCCACCCAAGAAGACAGATGTGCGGCCGCCGCAGCTGCCAGGTGCGGGCCGCTCCAGCCGCAGCCGTCGGCAGCTGCCGCACAGCCCCTGAAGCAGCTTGGCAGCTTGCTTTCCTGTTGCCGAAGCTAAAGAGTTGCGTGTGCGTGCCGTGTGTGCCGTGCTGTGCAGAGGAGGACAGGCGCGCCTCGCTGGCGCGCGACAGGTGGCGCGTGCTGGAGGCCGAGCAGCAGCAGCAGCAGCAGGGCGGCGCGCAGCAGGCAGCAGCAGCGCCCGTGCTGGCGGCGGCCGACGCCGACGGAGGTGGCGGCGGGTCGCAGGCCGGCCTGCTGAGGCTGTACCCAGAGGCCGAGCTTGTTGTGGAGCCAGAGGAGGGGAGCGACGATGATGGGGCGGGGCGGGACGAGCATGTGCGGGAGCTGGTGAAGCAGTACAAGCAGGCGGCGGAGCAGGTGGGCGGGCGGGTCGTGCGAGCTTGGGCAATGCTGCTGCCGCAGAATTGCATGAACACCAACCCCACCGGGACTGGTTGCGCCCTCGGGCTCGAGCTGAGCAGCTGACCGTTCCTTTGGGCCGGAGCCTGCTGGCCTCCCAGCTCGCTCCTGACGGCTACCCGCCACGCGCCGCCGCTGTCCTGCCACAACTGTCGCCGCCGCCTGCAGGGCTCTGGGTACTCGGAAGAGGAGCTGCCTGGCAGCCTGGTGGATGAGCTGGAGGTGCGGGTGACCCCCGAGCAGCGCCACTTTGCCGCCTTCCAAGCGAGGGTGAGGCCCGCTGCTGCCCTGAAGAAGCCTCGGGCCTCATCACCCTCGCCTGCCACCCGCGCTGCCGCGACTGCTGGCTTGGCCGGCTGGCTGCGTGCCTTCCTTGCCTGCCTGACCGATCTCAGCGGCTGGGGCGCTCATGTCGCGGAGCCCGCCCTCCGGCCCTGCAGGTCGGCAAGGAGCCGTCGCAGTGCCTGCGGTACTGCTTTGACGCCGCCGCCAGGCCGCTGTGGCCCAGCCGCAACAACACTCCGGGCCCGGGTGCGCCGCTGCGCCTGTCGCCTCTGCTTGTTGGCTGTCGTGTGTCTTGCCTGTTGGCCGCCTTCCGCGGTGGGTCGTGTGCCAGCATGGCTGGCAACCTGCCTCCTGCAGGGGCATGGCAGCCCGCATCCCTCCCCACCCGCTCACACCCTGCCGCTCCCTCTCCTTGCTGCCCCCTGGATGGCTGCGCCCTGCAGCCGACATCCCCGCCTGCGAGCGCTGCGGCTCGCCCCGCCTGTTTGAGTTCCAGGTCATGCCACAGGCAAGCCTGCAGGTTGCCACAGGGGGCTGACGAGCCATGGAACGTTGCCAGGACATCAGGGCCTGCACACGCCCTGCCTGCCCGCCCAGCCGCTGCCTGCGCCCCCTTCATCTCCCACATCCCACATCCCCACCATCCCAACCCCCTCTCTCTTCTCCCTTCCAACCCCGCACGCCGCAGATGATTGTGCACCTAGGGGCTGCAGCCGACGACCCTGAGGCTCCCGACTGGGGCGCCATCTCGGTCTACTCGTGTGCGGCGTCCTGCAGCAGCGGCGTCACGCCTGGCGCCAGCTCAGCCGACGAGTCGGCGTACCTGGAGGAGTTTGTGTGGGTGCAGGGGTCGGTGTAGCGGCGGCTGCAGGCCTGGGCCTGAATCGTGATGTGCCCCAGGATGGCTGTTGAGCGTGCCAGCTGCAGGCCAGCTCCGGGACCGCCTTCCAGCGCCTCCAGCTTTGCACCCCCCAGCTGGGCGGCGCCCGGGCATGCGAGGTGTGGCAGTTGTGTTGTTGTGTTGACATGCGCGGGCAAGGCCGCAGCTTTACAGTTGGCTGCACAAGTGTAAGGGTACAAGGTAACTGAAGGTGTGGATGGTAGGAGGGAATGCAGTCAGGGAGGAGGCCGAGGAAGAAGAACAGCAGGCAAGATGTGACTGGGTGGAGTGCGACAAGTGAGCTGAGGTGCAACAATGTTCAAAAATGCTGGGGAATCAACAGGGTGGTTCGGAGCTGGTCTGGCAGACAGAGGGAGGAGGGCGGCGCGTGTGGACAGTATGGCAAGGGGCGCCGGGATCAGGTCACGCGGCGGGAACAGGAAGCGGGTCTACATACGTTTAGCAAACATGGCTAGCAAACATGACAGCGGCGGCACTTTAGAACCACACGTGATGATCTGGCTAGCAGCGTGCGCCCAGAGCTGGGCATTAGGATGGCGGCTGCATCGTCACAAAAAGGCAACCAGCGCTGGCGCGCCTTGTGTGCATGCCGGGCTCGGTGAATTGCGAGGGGTGGCGGTCGCGGTGGTGGTGGATGGGCAATAGGATGGATGGATGGGTGGCTGGGCTGACGTGCGGCTGGGGGCTCAGCATCAGCGACAGCAGCCCGCTCAGCAGGTCGATCACCAACGCCGCATCCGCAGCAGCTCATCGAATGGGTCCGCCTCCCAGCCAGACAGCAGGTCGGTGAGCCAGCCCTGCAGGAGGAAGGGGCGAGCATGGCGTTTGTGGTGTGTGCCTGTGTGTGCATGCGCGCATGTGCCTGGGAGCATGCATCCCTGCATCCCTGCAGTCCCTTTGGCTGCATGGCTGTAAACTGTGAGGGAGAGGGCAGTGCCTAGCAGCGGGCAACAGCCAAAGGCACTCTCTGCTGGCGGCTGCTTGCCTGGGGGCTGCGGGGCGAGTCGGAAGGGTGGTGCTGGGTGTGTGGGCGAGGCGGCAGCCCCAGGGGCGCGACACGGCGTGGCCCCGCCGGCGGCCTGCCCGTGCCGACGACCGTGCAGCTGCTGGCGCCGCTGTTGCTGTCTGTCACGCAGCTCTCGCTGCCTGCTGCTGCTGCCGGGGACGCGGGCTGGGGCGGCAGCTGGCAGCGCCGCGGCGGTGCGTGGTAGGCTGACGACATGGCTGCCGCGGCTGGCACAAAGCGCTGCTGCACGGAATCGAAGCGCTGCGCGACCACTTGCCGGTGGGCTGCGGGGTGAGTGGAGGCAAACCACTGCTGGAGATGCCTCATCTTCTCAAGCTGCTGCTGAGCGGTGGGGGGAGCCGCAGGCTGCACGTGGGCCGGCCGCAGCATCGGCTGGCTGGCGGCGGCCGGAGGGCAGCTCCAAGCAGCGGCTGGAAGCATGCCGGCATGCCTCTGCTGGGCCTCTGCTGATGCAAAGCTGGACGCCTAGGCCGCAGCAGAGCTGGGAGCCGGGGCTGGCGCCGTCACTGCAGCGGCTATGGCGCCGGCAGGCGGGGCGGAGCGGCCGTTGCAAGGCGCTGCACCCTCGCCAGCATCTGCACCGTCGTGCGGCGGCTGGGTGGGGCTAGCAAGGGTGGTGCAGCTGCTGCTGCGCCGCAGGGTCGGCGCAACCCAGCCCCGGGGCTCCAGCAGCCACGGCGCCGCTCCAACCGAGGTGCTCAGGTTGCCGCTGCAGCTGTCGAGCGCCGACAGGGCAGGCGGGCTCATGCTGCCGCTGCCGCCGCCGCCGGCTGCTCCCGCTGCCCCGGGCGCATCCAGAGGCGGGCGGCTCGCCCCGCGACTGTTGCGCAGGCTCATGGGATCGCAGCTGGGATCACGCCGCCGCTTGCGCCCCCCTGGCGCGTCCCCCGCCGCGGCGCCATCGCGATGCTGCTCCCCTTCCCAGCCTCCACTGCAAGACATTACCCGTGCCGGGCCTGTATCCTCGCCGCTGGCTGCTGCAGTGCGGCAGGGATGGGGGGAGATGGTGAGATGGTCTGTGAGTCGCGGGCAGCAGCGAGGGAGAGACGTGTGGCCACCCAAGCGCTGGAGGGCAAAGCATTCATGGCTGCCCAGCCCACCTGAGTGATGGCACGCTACGCCGGTGCGCCTGCTGGCCTGCAGAGCAGCGTGCAGGCCATGAACGGGGCTGAGCGGCAGCGGCAGGAGAGGGGCCGCACCCTACCACCCCGGCGGGTGGTACTGTGGGGCGGCAGCGCCGAGGCGCGCTGCACCGGCAATGGCAGCAACGAACAGAGGCAGGCGTAGGCGCGTAGGGCTGCCGGACATCTCCAAAACCGCGGGCTCATCCAATCTTGAGCTCACCTGTTGACTTGGCAGAGTAAAGAGAGGCCTCTGCCTGAGCTGGGGCGCCTGAGCGGCGGCGCTCCCCCAGAGCAACCGGGGGCCTCCAGCCGCGAATGAGCCAATCCCTGCTTGCAATTGGCAGGGAAAGGCAGCGTTTCAGGCAACCACACTCCCCCAGGGGGAGGCAGCAGCTAGGGTGAGCCCCAAGTTCGGGCGTCCTGGTCGTGGGGACACCCCCAGCGCGATTGCTGGCACACTGACAGGCACCAGGTGATCGGTCGCAGGCCATGTAGCGGCCGGCAGCTCACAAACTCGCAGTTCGTGCAGCCCACCCAGCACTGGCAGGGGCAGAGCTCACCGCACGGGAGATCTGGGGGCGGTGCAGGCGTAAACGGCGCCCAATACAAAGGTGGAGGCGGCGGCAACACTGAGCCCTACGGCAGGAAACAGTACTTACAGTCGGACGGGCCGTCGGGGCTGGGAACCAGCTGATGCTCTGTGATGAGGAAGCGTGACACCCCAAGTAACAAGTGGAGCATCTCTTTTAGTCTTTGCCAATGTATTGCACGGCCGACGTGGCGGGGGGGGGCGCGTGCTGGGGCAGCTGCCGGAAGCCAGCAGTACGTGTGCTAGCACAGAGGAGGAAGCGAGGACGGCGACGGCTGGGGAGAACGCCGTGGCGGAGAAGCATCGAGGAGGAACCGATGCCAGGTTGCAGGGCCGGGCTGCTGGCGCCGCTGCTGGCGCCGCCGCCCTTGCGCAGGCCCCCCGCTGCTTGTGCCGGCCATTCCCTCCCTGCCCTTTCCCGCTGCCCATGCTGCAATGCACAGGGGCCTCTAAAGCCCTGCACGCACAAACCCCAGGGCCAGCAGACGCAAGCTGGCTAACAGAACAGGGCCCTCACCCTCCGCCGCCGCCGCACGCATGCCAGCTCAGCGGGAGCCCGTGCAGGCTCCTCTCTACGGCGAGCAAGGGAAGCCGCAGTTCGTCACTGATTATTTATATATTGGCCCACCCTCTTGCACTGATGACGACGAAAGAATGTTATAATCAAATAAATCAATTAATTCGTAGCACAAAGAATGGGCGGCCGCCGCCCGCCCTCAGAAGCCGTCGCTGGACAGCAGGTGGTGCATGGCCTCCACCACCTTGCTGGCTCCAAGCTCCAGGGAGGGGTCCCTCACCTTGGCTGCCAGCAGGCGGGACACCTCGTTCCGCAGCTCACGCACCAGCACTGCGGCGCAGGAAGAAAGTAACACAGGCTCAAGCGAAGGCGCGAAAGGAAGCGGTGGCAGGGCAACACAGGGGTCGGCACGAGGCGGCGGTGGCCGGCTTGCGGCGTTTTTTGTGTGTTGGCTAGGGACCCCGATTAGGTGCAGCCTCAAGGGCATGGCAGCGTCCTGGCAGCGCAGCATGGCACGGCATGCACAGCGCAGGGCGGCATGGCCCGGTCGGCACACCTGCGATGCGCGCGGGCGCCTTGAACCGCGCCCAGCCGTCCACCCGCAGCAGGCCCTGCTCATGCTGCACCTCGATGCTGCCTGCAGCCAAGGAGAAGGGGCCAGGCCTTCGCAAGGTGCATAATAGTGGCGTGGGAGGGGGAGGCGGAAAGGCACGCCCAGCGCCGTGTGTCCACGCTGCAAGCACTCCCGCCACACATCGTCGCGCCAGCCGCATGCAGGCCAAGGCCCCAGCCGCCACCTCCGGCAAAACGGGGCTAGCCAGCCGAGACCTCGACCCCGGCCCTCGCCTCGCTCTACCCCCTCCCAACCGCCCACCCACCCACCTCCAAACAGCAGCACCGCGTACACAGGCACCATCGACGACTCCCGCACAAACACCTTGCTGGTTTCCACAATCTCGCTGTACGCCAGCCACCCGCTCTCAAACTTGCCGCAGGCAAAGTTGACGGAGGAGGGGTGCAGGAAGACGCGGCCTGCGCGTGGGGGTCGTGGTGCGTCAACAAAAAGTGGTGGCGGGTGGGTGAGGTTGGCTGATGATGGGGCAGGGCACAGGCAGGGCAAGGCACAGCGGGCAGGCAGCCGCTCAACCACCACCACCGCCGCCACCACCAGTGCACGCTAGCGGCCGGGCTGCTGCAGCTGCCAGCCAAGCAACGTGCGGCGGCACGCGGCGGCAGCAGCGGGGCGTCACGTGCCTCGCTCTTGGTCGAAGAAGCGCAGCTTGGAGGGGTCGGCGTCCGTCTCCACCGCCCCGCCATGCACCTTGGTATACTTGGCAGCGGGGTGCTCCACACGCAGCAGCTGCACGCGCGTAGGGCGGGCGGCGGCAGCGGGGAGGTGCCGAGATGGTGAGGTTGCGGGCATCCGCTGTGCCAGGCCGGCGCACGCGGGTGGAGCAGAGCCGCAGGGAAGTGGAGCAGGCACCCCCTGCCACACACACACACCTGCGGGTAGAAGCCGCAGCACAGGGCGGCCTTGACGGTCCTGGCGTTGCCCGAGTGCTCGTCCACGTCGTGCAGCGGCCGCTCGCCGCCAGCGCCGTACGGGTTGCGCACGGCGGTGGTGAGGCCGCCGCCGCCGCTGCCGCCGCGGCCGCCGCCTCGCCCGCGGCCGCCACCGGCTGCCGAGGAAGCCGCCGCGTAGCTGGCGGGGACGAAGCCCAGGTCGGCCAGCAGCTCGGCGTACTGCCGCCGTCCCGCATCGATGGCCTGCGGCGGGTGGGCGAGGCGCCCGAAGCGGCAGCGTCGTTGCCAGCCCCTGCCCTGCACTCTCTCGCCTGCCCTCTCACCTCCACCCCACGCCATCACCCGGCACACACACACAAGCAGTAGGATGGGCTGACTCCCCCTCACAGAGCCAACACGTACTGCGTGCCCTAGCAAACGGAATGCAAAACCTTGGGTCGCTGGCTCGACGAACCTCTGAGTTCCCACCCACCACACCCACCACACCCACCACACCCACCAGCCCCCAGCCCACCTCCAGCGCCTGATCCGCCAGGAAGCTGCGGCCGCAGAACTCGTGCGCCGCCTGCCGCCCATCCTTCTCCACCACCGCGCGCCAGCTGGGGGCAGGGTCGGCGGGCCAGGCGTGTGCGGGTGTGTGAGCAAGTAGGGGACTGGCAGCCAGCGGGCCAGTCCCCTAAGTGGGGGCTAAGCAGCCCCCAGGGGGCGCTGAAGCAGCCCCAGAGGCGCCGCCGGCACACCCCAGCCAGCGCCCCTGCCACCCCCACACCTGTTGTACGCCGCCACCACCGCCAGGTGGTCTGACTTGGAGGCCGCCACGTTGGCGGCCACAGAGCGGCGGGCCGCCTCCGCCTGCGGGCGGCCAGTCACGCGGGTTGCAGGCGAGGATTAAGAGGAGGGAGCAGCTTCCACAGCAGCGTCCCAGCAGCAGCACCAGCAACCTCCTCCAGCAGCAGCAATCTCCGCAGCAGCCCCCAGCAACTAGCGCGCGCAGCAGCGAAAGCCAGCCAGCCCCGCAGGCCCCAGCAGCCGCAGCAGCCCAAGGCGTGCCACCCCTGGCCCGAGCCCCACAGCCCCCACCTCCTCCCGCTTGTCAGGCGCCGACCAGAAGACGGGGCGCCCCCAGCCCTGCGCCGCCGCAATGGTCAGCACTGGGTCCAGGCAGCGCAGCAGCGAGCCGTACAGCAGCATCTTGCCTGCAGCGGGGAGTGGGGTGGCAGGGATGGAGGTGCGGCGGATGGGTGGGCATGTCGTGGGAGAGGTGCAAGCGGGGCGGTGCCAGGCCGGTGGCAAGGGGCAAAGCAGGGCAGGCAGGCATCAGGGGGGCAGGAGGGGCGGCCTGCCTGGCTGGCAGGAAGGGTGGCCTGGCTGGGGGCGCACCTATGCGCGGGTCACACGGCATGCGGGTCAGGTGCTGCCCCAGCGAGGTCAGCGCCCCGCTGCCTGCCTCTAGTGCACCGATGAGCTGCAGGGAGGTCAGGGCTGCAGGGGGCAGGCGAGCGGGGGCACAGGGTGCAGGCCGGGCGGGCACACGGAGGCAGTACGTCGGCAGGCAGCGGGCAGCTCAGGCCCGGAGGCGATGCAGGGCCAACGCAGCGACAGCCGAGCCGCAGCACAGACCCACCACCACCAGCTGCAGCAGAACGAAAGCACCAGTAGATACAGCAACCGCCACCAGCGGCAGCAGGACCAAAGCGCCAGCGCAACCAGCAGCAGCAGCGGCTCCAGCCCGCACCCCGCTGCAGCGCTGCGGGCTCCGGCGGCGTGATCATGCGCGCCAGCAGGGCGGGCACGTCGGCGGTAGCTCCCAGGATACCCTTCACGTCCAGTACCAGCCCCTGCAGGGGGCGAGGCAGGGGAGGCGGGAGCGGGGTCGAGGGGCAGGATGGGGATGGGGATTGTGGCAGGAGGGCGTGGGGAATGAGCGATGCGAGGGCACAGGCAACAGACGCAGCATGCACGCCGCCTGGACTGCACACCCACCGCCGTCGGCGACCCCCAAACCCATCGCCGCACGCATGCACGCCCCACCAACCGCACACACCCGGCTCCCCAGCCCGCTGCCGCTCCAACCCACCTGCAGCGGCGCCCGCCGGATCTCGGGAGGCGTGTCGCGGGGCATGCGCTCCCAGGTGCGGCGGCTGAACAGGCGGTAGCAGATACCGGGGCGTACGCGCCCTGCACGCCCCCGCCGCTGCTGCGCTGCTGCCTGCGCAGGGGCAGGTGGGCAGAGGGGGTGCATGGGGACACAGCAGCAGTCGGCATGCCAGCACTCCAGCAGCAGACAGCAGAGCACAGCCACCAACCACCTCCTCCTCTGCATCCCACTCCCAGCCTGCTGCACAGTACCAGCCAGGCACCGAGCCACGGCCCTCCAGTCCCCACTGCACAAACGCCTCGTCCCGCCAACAAAAGCCCCGCCCCCTCCCTCCACTCCCACCCACCTGCGACACAAACGTCTCCTGCAGTCGCGCGATGCCCCTGGCCGCATCAAAGCGCATCTCCTTGACGCGCCCCGTGTCTGCAGGGGAAGAGGGGCGGAGGGCGGAGGGGGCGAGGGTGGGTGAGGGAGCAAGGAGAGGCGGAGCGCGGGGGCAGAGGCGGGCGAGGGAGGGAGGAAGGGAAGGAAGGCGGGAGAGAGGGAAGGAGATAACAGAAATCCAGGGAAATGCAGGGAATTACCAGGGAATTGCACTGGGAGCCCGCCCCACGGCCCTTGCCCCAGCCAGCACCCCCCTTGGACCCCCCGCCACCCCACCCAGCACAGCGGTGACGTCGTCAATGGTGATGGAGGTCTCCGCCACATTGGTGGCCACCACTATCTTGAGGGTGCCTGCAATAAAACCCGACGGGGCAAGGCGGCGGGGGTAGGGCGGCAGCACAGCGGTTGTGCGACGGTTGCGTGGGGGTGGGCGCGGGCGTGAGTAGGGCTGCCGCTGGGGCTGGCCAGCAAAGAGAGAGAGTGTGTGTGCGGTGAGGAGCTGTGGTGCTTGTAATGCTTGTAGCTTGCAGGCGGTTGTAGCTTGCAGGCGGGATGGCAGAGCCGTGGGACCAACCATGCAGGGCTGCCCCTGCGCTCACCCTTGGGCGGCCGGTTGAACACGCGGGACTGCTGGCTGGGCGGCAGCCCGCCGTGCAGCGGCAGCACCAGCACGCCGCCGCCGCCGGCCGCCGCCGCCACTCGGCCGGAGGCCGACAGGGTGCGGCAGATGCGGGAGATTTCGTCGGCGCCTGCAGGGCGGGAAGGGTCAGTCGGGAGGCAGAGGCAGTCGGAAGGAGGAGGCAGTCCGAAGGAGATGGGGGACGGGGTCGAGGAGGAGAAAAGCAGGTAGAGCACACCCCATGCATGCACACATCGACATATACACACACACACACACGATGCCGCCTCACCGGGCGCAAAGATGAGGATGGCGTTTGCGTCGTCGCCGGCGCCGCGCCGCTTGCCGCCGCCCTGCTGCGCCTGCTGCGCCGCGCGGGTGGCCGCCAGGTGCGCCACCAGCGCCTCAATAAGGTCTGTGTTTATCAGGCTCTCATCCACATTGGCCAGCGACTGCCGCGTCTGCTCGCTGTAGGTGCCGCCGCCGGGCGCGGTCGCCAGCATGGCACCGCCGCCGTCGTCGTCCTTGCCGCCGCCATTGCCGCGCTTGCCGCCGCCGCCGCCGCCGCTGCGCTTGGCCCACTTGGAGGCCCTGCCCACGGCGTGGCCGGTGGCCTCCAGGGCATCCTCCAAGAAGAAGTCTGCACGATTAAATTTGGGGGATTTGGGGGAGGAAAGAATGGCGTTGTGTGGAAGAAAGCAACTGGCGCTGGTGCAGTGTATAGTTTTGGTGGTGAGGTGATGGTGGCAGAGGCCGCCGCCATGCGTGGTGTGGGGCGTCTAGATACTAGAAAGCGTGTGCCTGTCCTGCTGGGTCCATCCAACTGCCGCCCACCTGTCACGGGGTGGGTGAACCCCGGGATGGTCAGCTGCCCCGCGGGCTCCCCCAGGGCCGCCTCAAAGTAGGAGGCGAAGAGGCCAGCGTCTGCGGTGGCGCTCATGAGCACAACCTTGAGGCCCGGGTTGCGGCCTGCGGTGGGGGGCGGCAGCACAGAAGGGCGGTCAGTGCCGCGCGCCAATGCATAAGGTCGCCGTGTTGTACTGCCGCAGCAGTGCGGCACAGCAGTACAGTACAGCGAGGCACCAAGGCGCCACAAGAGAGGGGCCAGCCAACCCACCCAACTCCAGCAGGCCGCGCAGCAGCAGCAGCAGCAGGTCTGACTCGATGGACCGCTCATGGACCTCGTCCAGGACCACGTGGGTGGTCCCTCCCAGGGAGGGGTCACCCAGCAGCCGGCGCAGCAGGATGCCTGCGGGGGCCAGGCAGGCGCACGCGGAGGGAGGCAGGTGGTCGCCGGAACGGTGGGCAGGAGGAAGTGGGGTGGCGCAGGAGGGGAATCCATTCCATGGATGCCGGCTGGGGAGGTTCAGGTGGGGACATCGAGGCAGCGGCGGGCGGCAGCCGCTGGCTGGCATCGCCATGCTGCATGACAGCAAGGGTCCCAGGCACGGGACCCACCTGTGGTGCAGAAGAGCAGGCGGGTGCGGTGGGACTGCTTGGAGTCGAGGCGCACAGAGTATCCCACTGTGGCACCCACCGCCTCCCCTCGCTCCGCCGCCACGCGGGAGGCCAGGCCAACCGCCGAGATGCGGCGGGGTTGGGTGACGATGATGTTGCAGGCGGCCCCGGCGCCAGCCGCGATGGCTTGCTCCAGCAAGAATTGGGGGACCTGCGGGGAGGAGCGGGGAGGTGGGTGGGGGGTGGGA